GTTCCAAGTAAAAAAAAAAAAACAAAACATCAGAGAAAATTTCTTAGAAAACTGAATAACAACAATTAGATTACTTTGTAATTTTCCTGTCTGCGTTGTTTGTTGTTTTCTGCATTTGATCTGCTTGAAAGCTGGCCAATCAAAATGTAACACACATTTGCAATTTTGATTGATTAATTGATGGAATCAAATGGAAATTTTCCAGAGAAAATAATTTAGAAATGCATTTTTTCTCAGAATATTCTTTTGGCAAATTTGACCAAATTTCCATTTCAAAGTTCTTTACCTTTTAGTCTTTAATTTAGGTACATACTCTTTTTTAAAAGAATGAAGATAATTTATGCCTGCAGATTTTGTGGCATTCTTTCATCATTCCTTCTTGAACGCTTTCCTTAACTTTACCAACTTATACACAAATACAGCAGTATAAAATGTCAATGATAGCAATTAATTCTCTGTATATGAATGTGTATGTCTAAATGATAACATTATAATAAATTGATCTTTATAGATAAAATTTGGTGGAAAGTTTTACTACTTAATGGTAATGGTAATATTAGCTGTTTCCTTATGAGGAAACATTCATTGACCAAACAGCTTGTACTACTTTTGGTTGAAATTCATAAAATCTTTCTCTTAAAACAATTTTTCAGGAAAATAGGTTTCTCATGTCAAGTATTTGTTGTCACTCTTTCTAGTTTTGACAAGGGCTTCCTTCTTAACCTGTTTATTTGAAGTTGTGTTGAACATCAACATCTTCATTATGTCATTATTTTTCTCTTCAAGTTACATGTGTTAACCATTTTAGCTGTTGTTGCTGTTGAAAGCTCTAAAGTCCTGTTGCTTCTGTTATCTCGTACTGTGCTTTGGGATTCTGTAGCAAGGGTGGTCTTAAATTCTACAGTTTCAAATAGTCTTTATTATAAATAGGCTCAGTCTTTAATGCATTGATCCTTGTTTACTGTATACAAAAATGTTAAATATCTATTGTAACATTATTGTTTGCATAATTTATAGGTTCTTTCTGTCTGCTTTTCTTGCTCTTATTAAGACAAGTAGGTACCTGCAAAAATTTTCTAAAAAAGAGCATACCATGATGAAAAAATGTCCCAAACTTGATAAAAACAAAGTTTTATTGTCAAAATTTTTATGTTATCATTAAGAAGAAAGACCAAAGTATATTATTACATTTTTTAAATCCTTTCTAGCACATTGAAAATTTTGGTTAAAAATTTTTTTTTTTTGCATCAGCAGGTGGGCCAAAGATTAGTATAAAGATTTTTAGTGTCTTTTATTGTGTTAAAAACACATTGTTTTGGAAATTCTTGCAAAATTCAAATAATTGTCAAATTTTAATTAATTTTTCTGGACTTATTCACAAATGAATAAAATTATTTAAAAAGCTTTTTTTATTAGAAAATTTTGGCAAAAATATTTTTTTATATGTTACCCACACTTAATTTTATGAAATTTTGAAAAATTAAAATTTCAGCCACTTCATATTTATATTAATTAAAAGCAGGTTTCCTTAGAGATTTTAAATCATTAATTTGTTTTTGTCAAACAAAAACACCATTTACTGAAAATCTGCTCTGAATTGTAAAATAAAAAGTGCAATAAAACTATGAAAAGGTTTTAATTGCTTTTATAAATAAGGTTTTAATTGCTTTTATAAATAAAACATATTAAGGACACTATTGTCTTAAAAAAAAAAAACAATTCAATGAAGTTTTACAAATTCTGTATTAATTTTGGACTTCTGGATATTATTAATTGAAAACTATATTCACTAAGCATAAATGAAAAAGCTTAGTACAACTCATCAAACACCAATATTTTTAAAAGAATTTTGAATTTTTTGTATGTGCATAAACATGCTGACTTTTGTAAGTACGGGCAACCCTATACAACATTATCAGAAAATATGAACAATAATTATAGTAAATGTAAAGTCAGCATTTGTAAAATTCAATAAAACATCAGATTACAGCGAATATTTTCCTAAATTTTTAAGATTACTGAGGACTTAAAATTATATAAAAAAGACGCTGATGTCATTTTCTAAAATTATGTTTTACAGATAAAGTCTGTAGAAAGACATTAGACCTGTGATCATCTACTGTTGAGTTAAAAAATGCATTTCTGTGATATTTTAACATAAAGTAAATAATATTTGTTTCAATTCAGATTAATTATGCTTTAAATCAGCTAATATTTCTCAAATAAAGTTTCAGAAAAGAATATTTTATTTTTGGAGGATTTTTTAATAAAGAGAATTATATTGTAATGAAAGATGACAAAAAGGGTGCTAATCAACTATTTTAGTAAAAAAAAAAAAAAAAAAAAAAAACTCCTGGAAATATTAAATTTAACTTGAAATTAAAACTAAATTAAAAACTTCAAGATTTTTCATTTTTAAAAATTAATTTTAAGCCTTAGGTATCGTGTTTTTTGTCAAGGTCCCTATATTAAAATCATGATTAATGGATTTTATTTTTAGTTTGCAATTATTTCTTATTACTCTACACATTATCATTGTGGATTAAACATGTTTGAGTAGATGTCATGTTTTTTTCTTTTTCTTTTAAACTTAATCATTGTTGGTGGCTTTATCTCATATCCAAGAATTTAATTTCTTCTTTGCTGATCACTTCCTTTATGATGATAAAATTCACTGCCAATGTACAGGTTCAGGACTAGAAGCTTCTAGTTTCACCAAAACCTATTTCTGTCATCCATTCCCTATCGCTATTTGGCTTTGCAAACTTAATAAAAGAAATGTGTTCTCTGGAAGCATTTGAACCTGTAATTCCACTTTTTAGAGGAAACCACTATCTGATCTGGTATGTTTTAGTCTGCTCAGTTTTTCTTTCTTTTTTTTTTTCTTTTGCTGCAACATTCTGTTGGCTGAAGCAATTTTTGATGGTATGACAGTAGATTGTTCCAAGAATAACCTCATAATTCTTTTCACTTTATTACAGGTTGTAGTTGTCTGATATGAAAGTGCATACAAAACACTGGTATGTCCTTGAATTCTTTATGGTGAAATAATTGCAACTATTGACATTTGTTGATGCTTGCTGTACATTTACAGAAACCAAACAGTGGATGTGTGCACTGTTGGTTGGTTGGATAATGTTTTTAATTAGTAACAACAGCAATGTTTGTCACAAGCTACACTCCAGGTGTCCTTGTACATGAAATGAAGAACAAGTGCAGAGTTAATAATGGTGATTATGTGCAAAAATAATGTTTTTGCAGCTGAAAACTTCCTCTATCCAATGTTGTTATTCAGCTCCGAATATCTGTTGTGATTTCATGGAAACAAGTGTCAATTATTACTTTTGGAGTATCATTTGTATGTGTTAGTATGTATTACCAGGAATCTACTGGCTGATTGCAAAGTAACTCCTCTTTTTAAAATACCTATAATTTATTTATTTACTATAATTTTTACAGGAAATGGATATGAGAGGAAAGTGTTTAGCATGAGATTTTATTTAAAATTTGATATTGGCACCAGATTTTGCTACCAGCTTCTTGTTCAAAAGATATATACTTATATATATATATATATATATATATATATATATATATATATATATATATGGAGAAAATGATATATAAATTTTTATATACCAGAGTTTAGATTTAAAAACTGCTATTTTAATTAAAGGAAAAACCAATGTACTAATATGAAGTGTATAGAAAGTGCTTTAATCACTATACCATCCACAGTAAATTTGCATCCAGGTTCTTACAACATTTCACTTTTCTTGGCAGATCCTTTATCACAATATAGGATACTTGATAACAAAAGTTATAAAAATATAAACAAAAAGAAACTAGATGAAATTGTTTAACTATATATCCAAATATAATTGAAAAGTTTAAAATTTCACTGTCCCCTCTCCTTTATCTGCATGTCAACATAAACATCACTTTAGTCTGTTTAAAAATAAAATGGAGCATATACTCAAAATCCGTTAAAAATAACATTGAAAGTAACAAAAATGTTGGGTTAAAAGATAAACAAAATATGTATTAATTCTTGAGAAATTATTTTATGCAATGTAAATATATTTTCATTTGTGTGAAGTTGCATAATTGTATTAGGAATAGAAGATGAAGCTGCATGCATTATTTCACACTAATTTATTGGAGAAAAACATGAATCTAGACTCCAAAGATCTTGATAAAGTTCTTATCACAAATTGCACTCAAGTCAGAGACTCTTTTCTGCTGCAGGAAGAATACTTTCTTGATTATCCATATCAGAAATATTCAGATGTGAAATGAAAAAAAAAAAAAGGAAATAATCTGAACATTTTTCAGGTATCTGGACTAAATTTATTTCAATATTTAATCTCAAACAAGCATTTTGAGAATTTCAAAAAACCATACCCATTGTTCAAAATTTCAATTTCAAACATCAAAGCAATGATTATGTTTAATTTGGTTGTGTTCTCAAGCAGAAGCTACACTTGCGAATACATCTACTTAAATCTGAATTTAGGTGTAAGTGACAAAAAAATGCAAGGTTAGCTGGAAACAGATAAAAGGTATATTTTAATAAAACATAAACTATCCAAAACCTTTAACAAATCATTTGATAATGTAAATGCTAAATTTCTTTCAGAAAATAACATTTTTCTTCATTCTTTTTCAATAATTTAGGTATTCAATTATCTGTAATTTTGAATTACCCAAACATATTTTTTCAGCCTCTGTTCCAAGTTGTCAGGATAATGATGGAACTACTGTACCATGTAATCCAATATTCGCCCTCTGCTATTATTTAATGAGAAAGATGGTCAGTGCCAAATAACTTCCACCATTGTCCAAAGGATGCCATCAAGGATTCAACATGGCACTGCAATGATCTGTTCATGGGTCAAAAACAACCAAATATTCTTTCCATAGATACTTAATTGGTGTTTCTGTTCTTGATCAAGTTTTATATTTGTGAAATAATAATTGTCCTTGATTTCTGTTTTTAGATGAGGGAGGAATATACAAATCGAAGTTAAGAAACCCAAATGCTGAAGATGCGACAGAAGTTAGTGAAACAGATCAAACTAGGGTTGACATGCCTGTGGACAATATGGAGGCTAAACAGGTAAGACTCTCCATGAAATTTTAATAAAATGACGTTTATTACCAAAATTCTCAAGAAAAATATATTGCACTAGATGTTTTATGTAATATTTCTTGGAAGGTTACTGATTCCAAAATCCAAGAAATTATGATGTTTAATACTTGGTGTCTTAAAATTTTGAAAGTATTTTAGTAAATTTTCAATGATTTTAATTTTTGTTGTTTGTCAGTCATAATAAAAGAAATATATTCAATATATGCAATCAAATAAAAAAGTCAAGGTTTTCTTTGTGGAAGGTTGTAGGTTAAACTGTGTGAAAAGAAAGGTGACACCATAACAAGAACACTACACTGTGTGTCAGGCATTATCCAATTTTAAGCTGTTTCAAGAATGGTTCTGACCTTCTCCATATACAGACCTGTATTTGCATTACAGGGGCTAGTGGCATTTTATGCACTGTTACAATGAAACAAAACGAGACACAGCCAATATTTTTAGTTTTATTTTCTGTTAAACTCATAAACATTGCAGAGATTCATCTTCCTTATTTTTAGTACCATTCCCCCTGTATTTCTAATGAATATATTCTATATAGTATACTAACATATGCTAGTATACTATATATATGCTATAATATCATATAATATATACTCATTGGCTATTCTTCATTTTCTGATTATTTAATTCCTGTGTTATACACATCCTTTGTCAATTCCTGTGTCTATGGTCTGGTGACTGGCAAGAGTGATCCTGAATTTCAGAGCCGATTAAAGTTGGATTTGGCAAGCCTTCTGTCCTTGCTGCTTTTCCTCAAAGCTTCTGCATCATTCTTCTTTTGAGCAATCCAAGTAGTTTGGTCCCAGAGTGGGAGATCTGTTACTCATTCCTCAATATAATGGATGCAACTTGATTTTGAGCAATTTCATCACTTGATCCATCCTCAGCTCTAGGCAGCATGGATGTGGCTTTTCAGCCCTGCTAGAGTCTTACATTTTCTTCTGCAAAGATGGCCATGTTGGGTGTCTTTGCAGTAGTTACATAAATACTGCATAATGAATAATGAACAATTTCTCTCTGTGTTTGGCACCTTTGATGATTTTTTAGGCCTATTCTACTTTGACAAATGCAATCACATTCATTGCATGTTAGATCAAATTTTGTAGAATCATTTTCATTTTCCTCCACATATATAATGATATTGTACATACTATACAGCTCATTTATGCATAATGTTCAACTAGTTGTTATGGTCTTAATCATCTCTGGGCAACAAGTCTAATACTATACTATATACTATTATATTCTGGGACCATAATGAAGAGGGCTTATGGCCATATCACATTGTAACACAGGTTCTAATATGATCACAGGTTAAGCATCATCAAGCCTGTTCAATACCTAGATGGGTGACTGCCTGGGAATACCTGCTACCCTAAGCTTGTATATGCATTGTGGTGTAATGGATAACAGCTCAGGATCCAATTCCAGTCAAGTTCATTATACGCACAAATGGTTTTGGGAAAGGTTTGAATCCACCTCCCCCCCCAGCTATAGGTTAATTAGTAGAACTTGTATCAGTAAATCATTATTATCTCAAAAAAATCTTATAATCTAAAAATACTTGCTGCAAAATGTTCAGCCATAAAAAAAAACAAAAAAAAAATAATGACGATTTGAAACTCAAAAATATTATAGTCTAATGTATTAATCTTGGTGTATTCTCAGAGCTAATTAAGCCCATGCATGACTAGTTGGGAATCATGCATAAATGGGTTAATATATCTTTATATATATATATTTTTTTTTTAATCATTTCACCCCAAGTAAGGCAGGATTGCCACTAGTGCTAAGTGGGTTACAGGGAGTGAAAGTGTAAGAAAAGATTACAGGGAGGATTGAGGAAAGGACAAAAGATGAATGGGATTCAAGAGTTTTCCAGCCTAAAAAATCTATTTGGGTCACAGTTTTGGGTCACTGGTAGCCTACTGTATTGGGGGGGGGTCGATCTACACAGTAACTTCAAGCTCAACTTGAATGATGCAATTTACAGTAAATAAAAAATGTCTTTTTTATGCTACACATTTGCATCAGCCTAATATTCAGTTATTAAGACTTCCTAAATCAGATATCACCATAAATTGGCCTGAAATTCTGGGATTGAAGAAAAATTTCTGGCACTTGATTCCATGACTTAAGTCAGTTGTGGTATCCACTGCTGGACTTCATAATGATGAGAAGAGAAAGGAAAATGCACCAAGCAAAACTAAAAAAAACTATTGAATGCAAGATAGGAAGACCAAAGAATGTATCAACTGAAATAACATATTATAATTCTGCTTGTTCTTTTGTTAGTTTGTTAGCATGTATGCTATGCTCTGCCATTGCCGCAGATAAGTAATGGCCATTGCTGTTTGATTGCAAGGATAGAAAAAAAGGTATATGAAAGTTGCCATTTGATTTCAGAAAAAAGAATGAAAAATAAGAAATGAGAGTTTTATCATCTTCCCTTTTGAAGGCAATAAAACTCTGATGTACTTAACATCTGCTTCAGAGAAATTGTAAGCTTTGTCAGTATTTTATCTTTTCATTTGTACCCTCTTACTTCTTTAAATAATAATCAGCATTCATATTTATGATTGTTATTGTAATATTTTGTTAAAGTTGTTAAGCTCAAATATTTAACAAGGCAGTAAGAGAATTTCCTTTGGTATTTTAGTCATGGTACTCACAAGACACTTATTCAGTCAGTAAATTATGAATTAAGATTCATCAGAAAATTCAAATAGGAAAACAATGAAATTTTCACAGTTGTTGTTAGTTATATTAAAAGGATGAAAGGTAATAATTCAAAATGTGTGCAATAATCTAGACAGAATTCTGATATCTGTCAGATTACTTATTTCTTTCATATAATGAAAGAGAAGATGTTGCTTTCATTTAAAATTCTGATTCAAACTTATTTCTCCCATTTATTTAAGTCTTAAATAAATAAATGATGTTAATTTGGTTTATTTTTTTCTTTCCTCATAGGTTGATGACAAATCAGTAAGTAAGACTTAACTTTTTCCTAGTGTTTGATTAAAAGCTTTTTAATATTTATACATATGATGTTTGAAGCAGTGATTTGGTCATTTTAGATGAGTTGATTGAATGGAGAAATCTTGTATTTTATCATTCTTACTTCAAATCTGGAAGTATTTTTTCACTGGGAACATATTTTATGCAAAAATATTTTGATCTTATATTTATTAGACAGAAAAAATTAGTAATAACAGAAGTTTTAATGTTTTTATTAATAGTAAAATTAATATCAATAACAGATTATTTTCACTTATTTAAATAATTCTGTAATGGTTTTATTAACAAAAATAAATATTAATTCAACAAACTTACTATTTTTTCACTTTTTGATGAATTGGTACAGTTTTAAGAAAATCTAATTAAACAGCTTATTTTGACTCATTTAGATAATTCAATATAGATTACACCCAGTTAAAAGTTGACTAAGTGGATCTGAGTGTCCCCAAAATCAAGATGTGATAAGAATTATTTGGCAATCTGGGATTTGTAAATGTTTTGGCCAAAGGAAAAGAAAAAAAAAGGATTTTGTAAACAAAATTCTTTATGATAATTCTAAGAGGGCTTGGAGTTAGTTCAAGAGTGTTGCCTCGCAGAAGCTGACCGAAAGATTTCCACGTCCTTTTCGACTTAGTCTTCCTACCAAAAGCAAGTTTTTATTGACGAACAACCTAAGATACCATAACTCACTTAAGAAATGCAAAAAGTGTCACGAATCCATAGAAATGGGCTGGGAGAGAAACACACTCCTGTATTCAACAGATAGATAAAGATAATTGTTATTTCTCAACATATTTGAACCTCTTGAGTTGTTTTATTATTTTCTTTTACTTACGCTTGTGCAGTATCACCTTTACCACGGATTCAACTTGCACTATGGCATGATGCCTGATTGATTTCATCTACCTAAGATCAAAATCACAACGTGGGTAGGTTAGACTTGAGATCAAAGTAGTTACTTCGGTAACCAAACATTGGAAGTGAGCTGGGAACGACAAGTTGGTATCAAACTGGGAACAACCAGATTGACCGGGACACAGGCTGGTGGCAGTGACAAGTCAACCCAAAAACGCTAGTGGAAGAAACCTTACAGCTTCGCACCGCAACTGGAAGTTGACTATGGGTCGACGGCGCAGTGTCATATATTGACATCGCGATCAGTGGATGTCGTGTATTGGCACTGGACTGCGACTTCAAATTTAGGTCTTCAAATGTCATATGATATACAAGTAGATAAATTTGTATCCAGGTTCTTACAATATTTCACCTTTCTTGGCAGATTTTTTATTATCACAATTTTTGCAACGAGTCAATCAGGTTTTCAAATGTTTATAGAAGGCATCACATCTCCCACTCCCAGTGGTGGTGTCTGCCACTCCTAAACATTGTGTTTCTAACTCTGCTAGTGATGGTTGTATTGCAGGTTTTTTTATAGCTGAAGGTCAGATCTGATTTACCTGACAAATTTGGTAGTCAACACAAGTATTTCAGATTTCAACCAGCTTGAGTAGCCATTGGTTAAAAAATCACTTTTATCAAAACAATTTATTATAGTTGAAAAAAAAACACTTCTGTTTTTCTTTCCCTTTCCTTCCCTTTCAATTGATCCCCCTCCACTACTTGGTCAAGGAGCTTTACACATAGGCTGGCAAGGTTCAGGTTTCATTAAATTATTTTATTACCTTCATCCTTCCTCAAACTACCAAGTGGAAAAAAATAATTTTTAACAAAAAAGAAACAAAAATTTTCATTTAAAGATTTTAAATTTCAGTGTTCCACCATCTTCAGAACTGACACTTGTATTTTTATATCTCCCCATTCTGCTTCATACACCTATATAATTCCATCAACAATATAATTCCATCAACAATATAATTCCATCAACAAAGACATTATTCCAATGACATTTTTATTGAGACTGAAACACACTATTTTTTTCACTT